GATAAGTATAGTAATAGAAGATTTTGTATTTTAGATAAATATAGTATATAATAAAGTATATATCTTTTTTTTTAGACAAAATCTGGGCTGTGAAACAAAAAAGATTTATTACACCATTTATTCATCTTCATCTTGAGTATCATTATCATTTTGAGCATTATCTTCACTTTGAGTATCATCCTCATTTTGAGTATTTTTTCGTTTCTTCTTTCATTGCTTTAAAGCTGCTACGGAATCCTTAACCAAGTTTTTAATTCCTCTTCCCTTTGATTTTTTTTTTTAGTCAAGTAAATTTTTTCCACAAGAAGGTTTTGCATACGTTCTATTCCATGTTGATAACAAGTTTCCATATTGAAGAATCCTTTCGTAGTATTTTGGGTTGTGTAATCAAAAAGAGAATAACTGTTGGGATCTGGATTTTGAAATGCATTATATATCTGTTCACTTAAAGCTCATATTTGTTCAAGTCGATTTGGTATAACATGATCATCAATATCTATTACTTGGTCAACAAATTCATCAAGAACTGATAGTTGTTTAATTTCATCTTGGCTTTCTTGTATTTGTCAGTGTAAGTTTTTCTCATCTCTAGATTTTTTTGTTATCACCTCTTTAACAAATTTAACACCATATATCTCTAAAGCTTCGTCATATACTAGATAATGCCCTTCACGTATAATATTAATAGATGGTACTTGATATAGTCATTTTTGAAGTTGTGTGTTTTTATGTAATTTTCTTAAAAAAATAGTGACTGATTCTGCATATCTAAATTTGCCAGTAACCGGAAAAAGTGATGCAAATGCAGTAAGACATGCAATTTGCAAATCGAAATTTCCTCTTCGAATTCCAATTTTGTGTACTTTTCAATAACCTGCCCACCGATAATAATTTAACCAAACTTTCAAAATATTATTAGACCCATTTTTAATGTCATTAATAGTTTTATTCGTATCTTGTAGATGACGGCAAATTGCAATTCTGACTGCTACCCAGATTAGTTCAAGAACTGTACATGTTGCATGATAATCTGAACCTTTTTCTAAATTCTCTAAATATCGAACACCAAGCTGCAATGCCATATTAAAAATTCTATAACCAGAAAAGGCTACAAGTAAGGCTTGGCATATGTCTTTTGAAGTGTGCCACTGTTCAAAAATAATATTAGTGGTAAGATCTTTATTTTCATAATTTTTAAGTCTTCGAAAAATAGCTTTATCACATGCAATATCGATTATATTAAATCCTGTATTTGCTACATCATTTAAAAACATATTGCATGTCTCATATACATTTTTATTGGAATTTGGTGCTGGATCAGGTTTTAGAATTACTATCTTTGGTTTATCAAATTTGCATCCTATTTCAATGGTTTCAATAACCTTTTGATGAATATCACTAATATCAAATTTATTTTTCTTTTCTAAAAACAGTTCTTCAAAAATTCAATCATAATTTTTATTTAGATTATCTGTAACTATTGATAACCCAAATGTAACTTGTCTCGATTGTTCAGAAAAAAAGACTGAAAGATTATCAGGCAAATTTGGAGGAAGTTTAAACTGGAATGTGATTCGTAGAGTAGCATGTGCAGTTTACCATGCAGTATCATAAATATTTCCATATGCGAATATATTTTTTTTTATATCAATATTATCAATAACTGATAAATTATAGATATTACTTGTAGTTTCAAGTCTGTTAGCAAGATTAGCACTTTCCATGCGCTATCTTTTTGTACAAACTTATGATCCCAAACATAAGAAATTATATGTGCAGAACGAAGAATTTTATGAAGCTTTGAAATCATATTTGGGCATCTACAAAGTGAGCCCAAGACATGAGGTAACCAAATTTTCTAACGACAAAAAGAAATTCCCATCACAATTGATACTAAAAATATTGTGATTCTTTTAATTGATGTTAAATTTAATGGAATTGAAAGTGATCCACGTGATTTTCTTTTTCTTTCAGCAATTTCATGTTTTTTTACAAAAAGAACTATAATAAGACTATTAAAAAAAGACCACAGAGTTTGAGGCAATATCGAAGCATATTGTATAAGCAATTGAGGATTTTTTATTATTGGCAAATTATCTTTAAATGAGATGTGTGATTGCCATAAAGATTCTCCAAGAAGATTTCTGAAGTATGTACACTCATTTTCTTTTAAAATGCTGCTTTTGCTTTAATGCTTAAATCTATTTTTGCTAATCTAAATGCTATTTGAGTAATTAGTAGAGTCGGCATAATAAATCATTCAGAAGGATCTGGATTTATTGGTTTATAAAGCAATTCTCGTGGCAAATAAGGCTTTAACAACTCAACTGCTAGCAACAATGACCAGATAAGCTGTTGTTTTTGTATTATATTATTCGATTTTGCTACTAACTGAATTCAATTTCCAAATATTTCTAAAACTCTAGATAAGTCATCATGTTTCTCATTACAGTCTGTTTCTCTAGTTCCTTTACCATACCTTCTATGTAGATAATCACCATTTGCCTCATAACATTTTAACAAATATATAAAGGTCGTGTATTATTTGTTGACAAAACAGAAACTGAGTAACAGGTTTGTAATGCTTCACATAATCGTAGTCCTAGACATGAAACTCTAATATTACATCCACATATTATTCACGAATGCTTTGAACAACCCTCACCACATGTAAAGAAGCATTTATATTTATTACAAAATAAGCATCTTGCATAATGAAAAATACTACAGTTTGTTTCTAGCGTTTGAATTTTTTTTTAAATGTAGCTGATTTTGATCATAAAGAAAATGCCTATAACAGATACCAAGCTCATTTAATTTTCCATTATATTGCTCAGCGGTATTACGATCGATTTCCCAAGTACTTTTAAGTTGTGCAAGAGGTTAGTTAGCATCAATTCTGTTGTATCATTGTATTTTGTAATTATAATTGTCATTATCTATAATTACACAAGGTGTGTATTTATTATCTTTATTTTCAGGAATATTTGGTATAATTTCATCAAATCCTTTATTTAACTCATCATGTAATATAATTTCTTCTATTTCACTATTAAGGTCATAGTCTTCATTATTATCACCATCTAGTTGTAATATTTTATCCTTAATATTTTGATATGTATTGTTATCGAAGTTTAGAATAAGAAAATTTTCAATTTTATCTACAGATTCACTATCGGAATCGTTATAATCAATGTTTTCCATCATTGTAACTGTGAAGTTTTATGAATTTAAATAATTGTATTTTTTATTTAAAAAAATTTAATTACAATAAAAAATTTTAACATGCGAGAAAAGACTTATTTATATTTATTGCTTAATTATTTATTGATAGAAAATACATTTTTTGCCTTAAATATCTAATAATATCATATGCACAAATTGTTTAATATAAACTCCAAATTTTTAATAAGAAAAGTGCAATAAAAAGCTTTTGATACATTTAAAAAAACTTCCTATTTACTTGTTCTCAGAAAAAGTTTATTACATAAATCTGCTTATCATTTAGAAAATTCTTCTTTTCAGCACATTATTTCCAACTTGTAAATAATTCACTATACCTTTTTTCCCACTATTGGTGCATCTTTTAAATATTAGAAAATCTATTTATTACAAGTTGATAAAACACAATTCATCTTAACACGCTATTCTAACCTGTAAATAATTCACCATACCTTCTTTCCCATGTCTGGAATCATATCGTCTCTTCAATAATACGCTCCTTGAGAAATATTTATTAAATATTAGAAATCAATATTTATTACAAGTTGATAAAACACAAATTCATCTCATTATTAAGAAAATTTCCTTTTTCAGTATGCTATTCTAACTTGTAAATTTACTACGCCCTTCTTCCCACTATTGGTGAATCTGGAATCGTATCATCGTCTCAATAGCATGTTCCTTGAGAATGTTTATGATTATGTCACCAAATTAGAAAATCAATAATTGTTCCATGAGGTGCTAAAAAGGGTATAGCACGAATCTATCAATCATATTTTACAAAGATTTCTTCAGTTAGTATGATTCTAAGGAATAATAATAACACTTTTTAATTTTACCAATACGAGTTTTCTCTGAATTATTATTCTCAACTAAATGGATATTATAGCATGGTGTAAACAAATTATATTAGTATGACCCAAAACAGAAAATATTTTTTTAATTGAACCCAATTTCTTAAAACTTATTTGGATCAAATCTGTAAATGTTAATATCTTGCCTTGCGCATATTTAACTTTATTAATTAATTATTATTATTTATAATTTTTATTTCTTGATTTAATGATTATCCTGCACTTTTGATATTCCTAATATATTTCTCTTATTATTCTTATACATCATTCTGATATTTACTCAACCTAATCTAAGTATGGTTATCTCCCTCCAGTAATGGTAATGGTAACGGTAATGCTAAGCACAATTCCTACTGTGAGTTAAAGCAATTTGGATCTTAATGATAAGCTGTAAAATTAAAAAAAAATTATTATATAAAATTACTGTGATTCTTAAAAAACTATCATAATCTCTGTATCATACAAACACAAAACTTGTAGTTCATTTGCCCAGAGTTCATTACAAATAGGTTCGCAATAGAAAGTGTTAATTGTCCTGGCTTCGCTAATAGTTTTTCTATATAATTAACCAATGCATTAAGTAAATAACTAACTGTTAAGTCAGTTTAAATGATTAAAAGTATGCTTATGAAATTTTTTCTAATCGACATTCATTTTTAAATCATTCAATTAGGGTCATCTCTTCGGCCATATTTTCAATGTCTTGATTTTGGTTTATACTTCTGTTTCAGCACTGTCAAAGAAGGTCTGTTCTAAAACATTAGTGCCTATTTAATAAAACAATGTTTACAACATTGATCACAATGTTGATCGCTGCTAATCGACACCTAAGGGTGTACCTAACTTTATCATCGAGATTCTTTAAAATAAGTATTATAAGTCATGTTCAAAACTGGCTAGAAGATAATTTTTATATATCTTTGTGTATAAAAATGTATTTATTTAAGCAAAAAATAGTACGAAAATTGACGATTTTGCTCATTTTATATGAAATTGTTTTTTTTTATATGATATAGATCATTTTAGAATCTATATTAAAATCACTTCCCATGATAATCACGTGACAAATCATGCGACTGATAACTATTAAACTACTTAGCAGTTAAGGCACTCAAAATGGAATGTTAACATGTTTGAAAAGGACTTGTTGTTAGTTAATCATCGGTAAACAACTTTATTAAAAAAATAATAGCCGTTAAATATGTTACATGCTGTAAGTTGTCATATTAAAGGGGTTAAACTACTTTAACTTCAATTGAAGATCTTCTTCGAACTACAAAAGATTAGAGAGTAAAGTTTTTTTAGCTTAATAAATAAGGTTTTTAGGTATAAAATTAAACTAAAAAACATTGGTGAAACAATATACAAATTATGTGTTGCTATAAGGGTATGTTTTATAAACATGAATTTTTTATATAAAAATTGAAATGATCAACATGTTGATTTATTAGTACACAACATTTTGAACCCCTGTAAAGGGACATGTCCCAGATCTGCTATGAATATTCAAGATGGTAGTTTAGAATTATTTACTAAAACTAGATGGACTTCAGCATTTGGTACTGCAAATTCATTAATTTAGTGCAAACCTGTTTTTGATAAAATTCTTGATAAAAATTGTAATGCAATTACAAATAATACAGTTTACAAGTTATTAAAAGATGAAGATAAAACTTTTTTTAGTACTTGTTATCAAATAATTGCAATATTTTATCTAATTAAAGAAATAATAACTATATTGAAATTATGATCTGCTAATTTAGCTAATTGTTTTATTAATTAGGTGCTGCAATTAATAAGTTACCAAATTATAATCCATTTAAAATAAATGCTATTAATATTTTTAACAAATGATATACAAGTCTTGATATAATATTTATTTGCTTGCCTATTATCTTCATCCTCAATACTGTGAAAATGGTTTAAAAGGTTTTAAAATTTTTGATTTTGTGAATATGCATTGGAATAAAACTTAAAACAATTAAATAACAAAACAAAGCAACCCTATGATGAACAAGATTGTAATAAATTAATGAATCAACTTTGTAAATATAAAGCTCAAGATGAGCCTTTTAATTTTCTTTATGATGATATTCATCAAACACCAATGCTATGGTGGTCTATTATTGATGACAATTATTCTCATTTGCAAAAATTTGCAAAGATGATATTTTCAATAATACCTTTACAAGCTTCTTGTAAATGTACTTTTTAAGTTTTAAAATGGTTCTATGGTGATAGAAAAATATGACTTCAAACTACAAAGTTAAAAGCTATAGCAAAAAACATTTATGGTATCTCTCAAATATTACTAAAGAATTACATTTTCATAATAATAAATATTCAATTCAAGAACAAAATCCTGAAAGAATAATATCTTGAAAATTTAAATCCTGAAAAAAAAATTCCTGAAAAATTACAATTCTGAAAAATCACAATTTTGAAGAATTATAATCCCAATAGGGTCACAATTCTGAAAGGGTCACAATCCTGAAAGGTCACAATCTTGAAAGTCACAATCCTGAAATTAGAATCATAAAAAGTCAGATCTTGAAAGGTCTAAACTAGAGATGAGCAAGGTAATTACTTATTACATAAAAAGTTGCATCACACAATGCGACGATTCTCCAATGATATATACCTGCAATTAATAACATGCTAAATCGACATGTTATGTAAAATGACTTTTTATGCAATAAGTGATTACCGTGCCCATCTCTAGTCTAAACCCGATTTTTGAACTCAGTTTGGTTCAGTCTGATAACCACCCTAGCATAACCACCACGATCAGTTATGTAATCGCTGTTTAAAGTCTGATCTGAGATTTTACTTAACCGGATCTCATAACCCAACATACAAAATTATTATCATTATTAAATAATATAAAATTTTTTATTGCGCCAAAATAAACAAATGCTTATTCGAAATTTGTTCAATAAACAATTATTACCTAACTTTACATACTATATCATAGATTTTTATTGTGTCAAGAAAAATGGTTATTCAAAATTTATTTGGTAAATTATTATTACCTAACTTATATACTATATCATAAATGTTCATGAATTTAAGTTTACTAATGAAAAAAAAAAGTATTTTATTTCATGTGTTCCAGGTTCTTGGAGGTTTTTGTCTGGTTCAGATTCTTTATGTCCTCTATTATCTTTTGAATTGACGCAAAATTGACTCAATATTTTGTTGTGGAAGGCTATAAAACTTTTCAAGGTCAATCGCCTATATTAGAATAGTATCGATATCAAATTTAGATTTTTATTTATAATTTAATTTGATAATAACATTAAATAAGTTATACTTTATAAAAAATTTTTTATATTGAACTATAATTTCCAAATCGCTTTCTTCTTTACTTGACCGTACCGTCATTTTCTACAATACTATTATCATTATTGTCAAGAACTGTTGAAGTAATCGTTATAGAAGTTGTGCATCATCAGGTGATATATGAATTTTCTCACAATGGCTTTTTCATCGAACCTAAATTGAAAGTTAATACGTTTCTAAAATATAATACATACAATATTATAAAGATAAACTTATCAAACCTTTCTGAAGAATGAGGCCGTCATATATTTCTGTATTACATGTTTAGAATCATCTAAACTTTTTTGTCTTTTTTTCAAACTCTTGATGGCAATTGCTAATGTTTCTTATAATAAACATAAAAATATCCATTATCTTTCTATAATGTTAATTGCAATCGCTAGTAAGTTTGCAAGTGATTCATCAATATTTTCTAATTTTATCAATTCGATTTTAAAGATTTATAATTGTATTAAGATCCATTCATGCACTCTCTTCTTTCATATTATCTATAAGTTATTTATAAACTACATCTTTGATATCTTCAGGTTCTATAGCACTTTCTTGCAATTCATAAATATTATTTATATTCTGCTCTTAACGTTTCCGGTTTTGCCTTTGTTAAGCATTCGATACAAGTTTCTTTATTGGTTTCAAATTCACAAATTTACAAATTCATTAATTTATTTTTATAATTCGGCAAGCGAACATTTTTTTAAATTTGATTGGGTTGAATAGTCAGATTCCATTAATAAACATTTGGTAAGAAAATTTTTAAACGATACTTGTTATTAAGTTACAACATAT